CTCCCCCTCCCTCCCCCTCTTCCTCTTTCTCTTTCTCCCTCTCTCCCGCAATCCCTCCCTTCTCTCTCTAAAATCAATCAATAAAAAAAAAGATATAGTCAGGGGCCCTAGGCAGTTTGGCTCAGTGGATAGAGCATCAGCCTGAGGACCAAAGGTTCCCGGGTTCAATTCTGGTCAAGGGAATCTACCTTGGTTCCAGGCCAGGGCATCCCATTGAACATTGATGTTTCTCTCTGTCTTCCCCTCTCTCTTCCACTCTCCCTAAAAATCAATGGGAAAATATCCCCCAGTGAGAATTAACAACAACAAAAAAAGATCTAGTCAAAGCAATTTCCTACTTCTTTCAAGTTCCATAATCAAAAGACTGTTAAATCTAGGCATATTTTACAGTGAATGCATTTGCGTAATATTTTCTCCACTTCTCTGTATGATATTCTTGGCTATTTTGCGGGTAAGAGTTGGGGGTGAGAGAGAATTAAGCCATCGATTTATAGTTCATTTGCTTATTATGCAGCAGTTTCCCTTCCTTCTTTTCATATACCCTTAGCGTGTGGGCATCAAGGGCATCCACATGGGGTTTCCTGCTGTTTTACTACCAGAAGTCAAAGTACATTAATAAAAATCAACTTTCGTTTTAATAGGTGAGGAACAAAACATGACAGAAACAGATGCCTTCTACAGGAGGTAAGAATATTGTCTTTTCTAAGAAAGGCCTCTTCCTATGGTGGTCATGATCAGACTAGAAAAATCAAAGTGGGAAAGGGGCCTGGGAACTGGAAGGTAGGACAATGGCAGGTTTCACATTTGGAAAGTTAACTTCTAGTTAATATACAGGTTAGTGCCTGCCCCTGGTTGTGAAAGGACTTAGCGTGATGTTCAAAATATTAAAGAGTTGGTATGGCCTGGGCCCTCTAGCTAAAGCGGGCCTCGGCCAGGCCTCGGTTGCTGGATCCTGGAGACCCGGGGTGAGACACCCATGTAGATGGATGGTGGGTGGGTGCTCACCGTGGCCGCTGTTTACCAATTGTACGGAAATATTTCAGGGCTGCCCTTGCTGGCGTGGCCCTGACGCCTCCAGTGCACACACAGGTCAGCCTGCGGAGGAGGAAACAGCAGACCTCTGTCTACACTACACGTGGATGGACCTTGGGCTCCGAGGAGCTCATTGTTTTTTTAATTTTTCATCAACAGTGAAATGTTTGATCCAGCAGAAAAGTACAAAATGGACCACAAGAGGAGGGGACTCGCTTTAATCTTCAACCATGAGAGGTTCTTCTGGCACCTAGCGCTGCCGGAAAGGCGAGGCACCAACGCAGACAGAGACAATCTTACGCGCAGGTAGTAGTTTCACCCACCTGTCAAGGCGACGAGGTATTTAGGTGGTAATTCTGGTGGAAACTCGTCCGCACTGAAGAAGTAACAGAGCAAGAGTTTTTGAGGATGAGCCTCAGTTGGGCACAGCCCCCCCTTAAGAACTTGCCAGAGTTTTCTTCCTAACCCTGTTCTGTTCAGTGTTAACAGGCTCCGCATTGTTACAGATACACAGTTAACCCTAAAGCTCAGGGGTTAGGACTGCTGAGCCCTTGCAGTCAAAAACCCACACCTAACTTTTGACTCCTCCAAAACTACGTTGTCCCTCAGTATCCACAGGGGAGTGGATCTAGGCCCCCTGTGAGTGCCAGCATTTACAGATGCTCAAGTCCCTTCTGTAGAACGGCATAGATAATGCATACAGCCGGCCCTCTGCATCCGCAAACTCCCCACTGACGATCGAACACAGTACAGGTATTTATTGAAAAAACAAAAAAAATCTGTGTAAGTGGACACTTGCGGTTCAAACCCTTTTTGTTCAAGGGTCACCTGTATTTGCAGAGTAAGAGTAGACACGATATTCTAACTTGAATCCGTTCTCATTACTAGTAAATCCTCTCCTATCGTGGGTGACCCAGGAAAACCGTCACAGTCCTATTTGAGTTTTCTTTTCCCTTAAAGAAAAGACAACTTTTGTGTCATAAGAAGTATGTAAATTTCCTCCAATTAGTAGGGTATGTGACAACTTTGAGAGCTCATAAGCTAATACTCAGTTTACTCTGCCGCCAGGTTTTTAGATCTCGGATTTGAAGTGAAATGTTTTAACGATCTGAGAGCAGAAGAACTGCTGCTCAAAATTCATGAGGGTAAGTAGTTTTCCTTTCACCTTCCTCCGATGGCACTGAGTGCTTCAAATGCCCGGTTTGTAAAGACAGATCCAAATAATTAACTGCGTAGTGAAAAGTCTTACTAATTAATGTGGCATGGGTTATCGGTTTTTGGTTGTGCATCTCTGCATATATGTTACCCACCAGATTTAGAGACCCTGGCACAGTTTTATTCCTCCAAAGCTTTTATTCAGCATACGATTAGTTACCGTCTGTTATTCTAGAAACGAATAAAATGGCCTTTTCATTTGGCATTTAAAAGTTTAAAATGCAAACACTAGTGATTTTTTAATTGACTCCTCCCCTACTCTTTTACTGCCTTCAAAATACTGGTGATTTAAATACTTTATCTCTTAATTTCTATATCAATGTGTAATAGGTATTTTAACAATTTATCTTTATCATAATAATCACTGCATGCTATGAATTTTCAAGTCATTTGCCAATGGAATAATGTAATATTTATATAATTTAAACTTTCTGCAGAGTTCTTTCTTTAGGTATAATTGATATGTAACATTGTTAGTTTCAGGTGTTCAACAGGATGATTCGATATATGTGTACATTTCGAAATGTCCCGTTACCATCTTTTAGATTCCAAATATAAATGAGATTATATGGTATTTGTCTTCCTCTGACTTATTTCACTTAGCATAATATGTCCATCCATGTTGCTGCATGCTAAGATGTCATTCTTTTTTAATGACTGAATAATAATCTATTTTATATATTTTGATTAAATGTGTGTGTTTGTGTGTGTGTGTGTGTGTACCTAAGCACTCTGCTGATTCATGTAACTTTTATTGCCAGAATGACTTGGATCTTGAAGGGAGTTCCCCATAATATCTCCTTTGTTTTATGTCATTTTCTGTGTTTTAGAAAAACTAATGAAATCTGTTCAAACTATTATTTTGAACTTGAATAATTTTGATTTTTAAAATAATTTGTGACTCTAGCCAGTTTGGCTCAGTGGATAGAGCATCTGCCTGCAGACTGAAGGGTCAGGGGTTCAATTCCAGTCAAGGGCACATACCTCGGTTGCAGGCTCCTGGCTCTGGTCAGGGGTATGCCAGAGGCAACCAATCGATGTGTCTCTCTCACATCGGTGTTCCTCTCTCTCTCTCCCTCTCCCTTCCACTTTCTCTAAAAAGCAATGGAAAAATTGCCCTCAAGTGAAGATTAAAAAATAAGTAAACAAAGTTATGTTTCATTATAGACATTTTACATTTATTCTAAGAATAACAGGTTTCCTCCCTCCTGCAATCATTTGTATGTAACTTATTCTAGTATTAGTACACTGAATTTTAATACATACATAATAAGCATCTGGTTTTCATTTCTGTCTGAATTTGGGGGGGTTTTTCTAGCATCAACCTCTAGCCATGTAGATGCGGATTGCTTTGTATGCGTTTTCCTGAGTCATGGCGAAGGCAATCACATTTACGCGTATGATGCCAAAATTGAAATTCAAACACTGACTGGCTTGTTCAAAGGAGACAAGTGTAAGAGCCTGGTTGGAAAACCCAAGATATTTATCATTCAGGTAAGACTGATGAAGTTACCATCTTCCTTAGAAAGCCCAGGGCCTGTACATGGGATTATTAAGGACTAAAGCCAACTTCAAAAGTAACTTTCTCCAGTACTGGAAAGGCCCTTTGTGAATTCTAGCCAGAGTTACAATTTGAATTCTTGGTAGTAATTCTTTCTTAACATAAAAAATAAATAAAGACTCTCGGCGTCTTTATTACTTGGATTGACATTTGAAATGACTCGGAATAACCCATGTGCTACTTCATGGCCAGCCTGGTATCCCAGGTGGAGCCACCAGAGAAAGTCCCTGCTGCTGGGGGAGTGAGGAGCAAGGCGCCTGCTCACACGGGCTGGTCCTCTGGAAGCTGGAGAGCGTGTGAGCTGAGCCAGTGGGAGGGGTGCAGGCATGAAGAGTTCTAGTCGCAGCTTGCTTCATCCTCTCACATTCTCCCTTACACCGACATGCTGTGTACCCCCTGCCAATTGGTATTAGGATAAAAATATTTTTAGGCCTGAATAACATCATCTGGTACATCAATAAGAGTTTTGAACAACAAAGAGAATTCCTGATGTCCCAGTGCTGCAGTTCTGTATTTCTGAATGGCATAGAGCACCATGACCACATTCTACATCTCGCCATAGAACATTGAGGAGAGGGAGTGAGGGTCTATAAGAAAAGAAGTTCAGATAATTCCTTGGTTTCTTGGTTGGACAACTGTGTTGCGGTGTCTGTGGGACATGCAGTTGGAAGGACAGGTCTAGAACCTAAGAGGCAGCCAGGGTTGGAGAAATAAATTTTGGAGTAATGAGGAGATGGATGGTAATGGAAGCAAATGAGTTTGCCCATGGCAAGTATAGTCTGAAAAATGAGCAGAGGAGAGATGCTGGAGAGAATGGCCCAGAGAGGTAGAAAAATGACAGCTATTGCTTCATGCAAAAGGGAGGGCCAACACTGTCTAAGACAAGAGGATTGGAAATTACTAATGAGCCCTCCTATGGGAGGATAGCCACAAAGGAGGAAAACATTTCACTGCCTCCGATTCTTCGTCTGTGAGATGGAGATAAAATAGCACCTCCTCATGGGGTGGTTGTGAGATTAAAACAAACTGGCCTAGCAAATGAAAAACACTTAGTGCCTAGCAATTAAAGGCTATCTCTGGTTCGAGCATCGTCCCTATACACTAAGGTTGCAGGTTCGATTCCCGGTCAGGGCACAACAAGAATCAACCAGTGAATGCATCAATAAGTGGAACAACAAATCAATGTCTCCCTTCCTTCCTTCCTTTCCCTTCCTCTCTCTATCTAAAATCAATAAGTTAAAATAAATACATAGCTAATCTCTTAAAGATAAAGGCTAGCTCTTATTGCAATTGATTTGGCAACTGATGGCACCAAGTTCCTGGTGTTCTACATTATATCTAGGAAGACAGTAGGAAATAAAGTCTGAATATAAGCGTGATAATTCTAAATAAGGTTAAAAGCTCCAGGTTTTAATATCTGAAAACTTCAAAATTACTCAAGACTTTCTGTTCCTTTTAAAGTTCTTTCTGTTCCTTTTAAAGCTTTTCATTCTTTAACCATTTCATAGTTGACGGTGCATTTATAATATAAACGATCTGTCAGGTCACTGTATTAAGTAGACTAGGGCAGCCAGAACCAAGTCCACAGACTGGGTGGCTTACACAATAGAAATTTACTTTCTGACAGCCTGTGGAGGAGCCTGAGATCAAGGGGTTACCAGGGTTGCTTTCTCCACAGGACTCTCTCCTTGGCTTGTGGATGACTGTCCCATCCCTCTGTCCTCTCATGGTCTCTCGTGTGTGTGTGTGTGTGTGTGTGTGTGTGTCCTAATCTCTTGTTATAAGGACGCTAGTCGTGGTGGATTAAGGTAAAATGACCTCATTTTACCTTAATTACATCTTTAAAGACCAAATTTCCAACTACAGTCATATTTGAGGTACTGGCGGTTAGGACTTCATCATATACATTTTAGAAGAGGAGGGACAAAATTGAGTTCATAATAGTCATTTATGAATAGAAACTAGTGTTCGCCTTTGTGTGAGTCAGAATTAGTGGCTAAGAATTTGAGACCTCACTCTCAAGTAGAAGCAAAAGGAAGAAGGCACACTTCTCAGGTGAAATATTGTCATTTTAACCCTTAACAGTTTATGGCAGTCAGTAGGCAAGCAAAACCCAATCTGGGAACATATTATTTAGGCAAATACTATAGCTTTTTCTTTTTTTAAAATATATTTTCATTTATTTCAGAGAGGAAGGGAGAGGGAGAGAGAGATAGATATATCAATGATGAGAGTGAACCATTGATTGGCTGCCTCCTGCATGCCCCCTACTGGGGATCGAGCCCACAACCTGGGTATGTGCCCTTGACCAGAATCGAACCTGGGATCCTTCAGTCCACAGACAGATGCTCTGTCCACTGAGCCAAACCAGCTAGGGCAAATACAATAGCTTTTAAAAGAAAGGATGACTCTTGGTACTATGGTATGAGGAATTTTTTAAATCAGACTTTCTCCTCTAGAGTGTACCTTTCTTTCAATCAACAGAATTTACTGTATAGTTGAAGATGCCAATATTTCTTAAAACGTTAACTAAAAGAAAACATAAGTGGGGGCGGAAACTCCACTTTAGTCTGCTCTAAACCTGAATGCTATGGTTTGAAGTGCATGTAAATGGCTTCTGCTGGTGTCGACATGAAGGGGTACTGAATTATGTATCCACTGTAAACAGCATTGGGAAGGAAGGGGTAGGTAAGTAAGTGAGGTGGTTTTCCTCCTTGTCTTGTAGGCATGTCGGGGAAACCAGCATGACGTGCCAGTCATTCCTTTGGATGTCGTGGACCATCCAGCAGACAAGCTGGATGCCAATGTCACCCAGGTGGATGCGGCCTCCGTTTACACCCTACCTGCGGGAGCAGACTTCCTCATGTGCTACTCTGTTGCAGAAGGTATGTGGGTGTTTAATACAAACATAGATGTGGCTCTCCTGGCTAAGTTCCTTTAAGCTTCATCTTGGCTTGACTTGGATCGCGCCTTTCTGTTGGGACACGGTGGTTTGGTCCTGAAGCTCACAGGCACAGAATGGATTTCTTTGATCCGGTAGCACAGAGTGATAGATGAAAATGTAAAAATACCTTACAGAAAAGTCATCCCTGGGAACTCCAAGTCTAAAGCTACCAGTCTAATTGTATTGAATACTAGAGGCCGGAAGGAGGGAGGTGTCCCTCTGCCCAGTCTGCACCCTTTCCAATCTGGGACCCCTCAGGGGAGGTCTGACTGAAGGATGGCAGTTGGACATCCTTCTCACAATCTGGGACTGCTGGCTCCCAACCGCTCGCCTGCCTGCCTGTCTGATTGCCCCTAACCGCTTCTGCCTGCCAGCCTGATCATCCCCTAACCACTAACCTGCCAGCCTGTATGATGCCTAACTGCTTCCCTGCCGACCTGATCACCCCCAACTGACCTCCCCTGCCGCCTGATTGCCCCCAACTGACCTTCCCCTGCTGGCCTGGTTGCCCCTAACTGCCCTGCCCTGCAGGCCCGGTCACCCCCAACTGCCCTCCCCTGCTGGCCTGTTCGCCCCCAACTGCTCTGCCCTGCTGACGTGGTTGCCCACAACTACCCTCCCCTGCTGGCCATCTTGTGGTGGCCATCTTGTGTGAGGGTGTGATGGTCAATTTGCATATTACCTCTTTATTATATAGGATTAGCAGCCTGCTAGGAATTACTGATGGCGATGGTGTCATTTGTTCATACTCATGGGAAGCTTTGTTGAAAATATTTGGTGACGATTGTTCATTTGCAGTAATTTTATGATTTTCTTCTTTCTAATCTCTTATCTGTCAAAATCATCACCTGGCCACTACTATCTTGAAAACTTTTAGGTAATTAAGTAGAATTAACCCCATTTTTATAGAACTATATAGAATTGATCCTTTTCCCACATGAGAATAGTCAACAGGAAAAAATATTTTTAAAAAAACGGTATCATGGATACATCTTTGTCCTTTCCAAGGTTCTTTTAAACT